GGGAGGGCTCCTTGTGCGCTGCGCCGCGGGAGTAAATGGCATTAAAGAAAAGGGAAAGATACAAATAAAAAAAAAATTAAAAGCAAGGGGAGTCGATGCTAGGTCAATTAGCACAGCCCGGGGAGCGAGGGAGCAGAACCCCCCAGCGCCGCGGCCGGCGCAGCCCGTTAACTCAAGTCTGCGGGGGTGTCCCGCCCCGGGCGGGGGGAGCGCTGAGCGGCAGAAGTTTGCTGCCGGGGTGCCGGGAGGTGCGCGTGGAGCGGGGTGACTAGGGGCTTCCCCCCGAAACAAGTGAAGGCGATGGTTAGTGCTGTCAATCTTGGCAATCAGTGTGAGCGGCCATGTCGTAAGTATTCAAAGCATTTCCCGTCGTGCAACATCAGAAAGTGAGTGGCCAGGGCATTGATCTGAGCGAGGGAGAGGAGGCAGGGCTCCCCTCCCAGACAACAGAGGCAAGACGAGACAAGAGGCGAGGGAGGCTGCGAGCCAAGCAGGGAAGCTGGGAGGGAGGGGGAGGGCCGGGGGAAGGAGGGGAGAGCGGGAGGCAAAGGCAGGAGAGCGCGGAGAGCAGGGCGAGAGACCGGCGAGACCGGAGGTTGGAACTGCAGAAGGCGCCTGCAAAGAGGGAAGCGACTACCGGGAGAGATCTGGAAGGGGACAAAGAAGAGAAAGAGCCAGGGTCAGAGGGGAATGGAGAGAAGAATTAGGTGGGGGGCGCGCAGGCTGCGGGGAGTTGGACCAGAGGAGTGCTATTAGGGCTGGGGCTGCTGGGAGGAGGAGTCAAGAGAAAGGCAAACTGAACCGGGGGAAAGGTAGGAAACCCGGGAGGAAAAAAAGGAGCGAACTGCAGGAAGTGAGAAAGTCAAATGGGAGAGGAAAATGTAGGGATGCTAGTTTGTGCTTTGGAAAAGTTAAGTGACAGGAGGAGGCACAGGCTGGAGGTTAAGACGAACTGAGACACAAAACTGGACCACAAAAGTGAGTCGTGGGAGAAACAAGTGGGAGGATGGAGCTCGGCACAGACCAGGAAGAAGTAAAGAGGGATGGATATTAGGACAAATACGGATAAAGGAAAGTGGAAAAGAGAAGTAGTCAAAAGAGAAAAGAAACGCAGGAACCTGAGATAATGAAAACACACCAGTTAATAAACTCTTAGTAAATGGGGGGGGACTTATTTTAAAAGATGGAGGGGGGGACTGAAAGAGAGACACAGGGGAGTCCTAACATATGTAGGTGACAGTGGACTGGAGGACATATAAATGCTGAGGCCTGGGGTTAAAATTATAAATAACAAGATATGTACAAACACAAATGATTACACCTTGACGACAATAACGTAGGTCTGCATTTATTACACGGATAAGTCTGCTGCATGGAATTGAGTGGGTGACATGTGTGCTATCTCAACTTTGTAGAGGGAAAGATTGGAGAAACAATTTCAAGAGTGGTGGCTTGGAGGTTGTAGGAGATGAAAAGAGTTTTAGTCACCCAGGATAGCACATGAAAAGTGCATGTCACATGTAGAGAATTATGTTTGTAAAAGGCACCCCTCAAGAAAAAAGTCTACAAAAATTAAAGGTTCCCTCTGATTCACATGTAGAGTAGATTAGAGTCGTGAAAGGTATAGGATGGCCTACCGGCTCAGAGACCTGGAACTTTGTCTCAGTGCACAAGAAGCTGCAGGACTGGGAAGGGAGGGCACAATCCTGATGGAAGCAGTAGAGACGCGAAGTAAAGGTGATAGATGGGAAAACTGGCCCTGACAGCAGTGGGGACTAACTGGAGCCAGGGGGCACAGGGTGAGGTTGGCCTACCATAGCCCAGGCCCAAAGGAACAGATTCAAGAAACGGAGTCGGAAGTCAGTGGAGAGGTAAAATTACATCAATATTAAAAGCGAAGAGACAGGTTCTCAGATACCACTACAAGCTGCAGAGATCTGTGGAAAACCCTTACTGTGTTGAAACTGAAGTGAGATGGCCACTTCGTGTCGCTTTGTAAACAAGAGACTGAACGGATCTATGGACCAGGAGAGGGGACAGGAATCGTGGCTAGGAACCTCAGAAAATGTCTTGGTAATCTGAAGTTGCCAACAAGAAGACCTCCCACAGTCTAGATGATAATAATAAGGGAAGGAAGCTTCACGTCTGTGAAATTAACTTGAAGGAAACAGCCGAGGAAGGCACAGAAGTGGGCACAGGCTGAGAGGCCGGCATGCCCTGGTCTCTGGAAGCACTGTATATGCCATGCTTGACTCCATATGAACTCCAGACAAGAGAGAGAGGACAGAGTAAGAGTGGAGGTGAGCACCTAGGGTGGGTGACTGGGGAAGAGCTGGATGCTTCCGCCCCAGCAGGAAAGACGATGTTTGACCACGGAGAGCTTGAGGACTGTGCGTTAAACTGACTCTGCGGCTGTTGGTTGGGAAGAGAGTGGGTCCCCAACAAGAAATATGGTGTGCCCCATCATCCACAGCAACTCTCAGGACTGTAAAGTCTGCCTCCAGGCGCCAGAGCCCATAGGGTACAGGAGAGCTATCCAAATCCTGCAGGACAGCTCTTAAGGGCCCGGCTCCCAGAACTGCAGGCCTCCCCTTGACTTCCGAGGCCCAAAGGGCAAGCCCAGATCAATGCTTCTAGGCTACACCGGGTTCAAATCTCTTCCGTGTGTGGGTGGGTGTGTGTGTGTCCTGGCTGGCCCAGCGCTGGGTTCCAGAGCCTCACGCTCCGCTGCCGCCTGCCTTGGAACTCAACCAGAGGGACCAAAAAGCCTCTCCAAAGCTAAAGAGGTCAAAATCGAATGATCTGTCCTAATGCCTGCAGAGAGAAGAGGAGGGTGGTTAGGGTCCCAAAGCCTGAGTCCTCAGGAGGAGCCAATGAAAGGCGAAACATCAGGGAACGAAGCGCTGGGGCGCCAAGGGGTTCTTCATATTTGCTGCGACAACTTTGGCTTTCCAAATCCCAACGTGTCAGTCTCTTTAAATCACCCAGCACTTGGGGTTCTGGGAAACCAGACTGACCCCACCAACCAGATGCAGGCCGCTGGCTGGACGAAAGAAGGAAAAGAAGAGGGCGTTTTTCAAATCTCTGGTGTCCAAGGCCCTAACACCCGGCCGCAATGAACCTTCGGAAGAGGAGCGGTAGGAACCTTCTGCGGGTTCTTCCTACCAAACTAATTCGAAAGTAGACGGATAAGGCTGGACTCCTTATCCAACCGAGACGGTCACAGTATCGATCCCTAAAGGAAGTAACTAAAGTTTGGGGTCTCAATGCCCGCACTTCAGACTGTGGAAGGATGACACGTGGCCCTGGGGGCGGGGGTGCGCGCTACGGGTTTCCTCTCTGGCCTCCGGCTGGCGAGAGCAGAGAGCCGTCCCTAGTGGTGGACTAGGCGGAGAGCTCCGCAGCCCTCTCCAGTGCCGGGCTCTCCACCTGGTCGGCATCCGTCTTCAGGCTTGGAGAAGTCCCCAAGGAGCAGAGGGCATCCAGACACCACGACTAGACCCCGGCACTCCAAGGCTCACACTTCCTCTGCGGGTCAGAGCCCCGCGCGGCGCAAGAATCCCAGACGCTGGGTTGGGGGAACCAGGGTGGCAAGGAGGGGCGAGCGGGTGGGACAGACTTACCTGCTCGAGCGGTCGCAGCCTCTGCGCTGTCCTGGTGTCCCTGCGCGCCGCGACCAGCAAAGGCAACTCGGCTTTGCCAAGTTTGGCCTCGCACCTCCAGAGGAGAAGCGCGAACTCGCAAAGGAAAAGGCGCGCACGGTTCCTGGAGAGAGGTCCCCCTGAACTTGGGAAGGGCAACGCAATTAATTCTGCTCGAGAAGTTAATATTTAAAACACCCACGTAAAAATCATATCTGCTATCAAAACCTGGAATTCCCGCTTTGCAAGTCTCCTTACACCAGCCGGGCGCACAATTCAGACCTACAC